GTCAATATGGGGTGCTATGTGTACATTAATGAGGAAAAAATGAACTTAAATGATTTTAGCAAATGGCTGCAATATAACAAAGAGTGAAAAATTTAAGGGAGTCTGAATACTTTCCGTACCCACTGTATATATATATTGACTGCCCCCTTCTAATCGTTAGTCAACCAGAAGAGGCTTGGTCGACCAAAATTTTAGCTTAGTCGCAGAAAAAAGATCCACATTGGCGAAGTCATGCAGATCGTTAACGGCTGGTCTATGGTAATACAGTAGGCCCTACATCTGGCAGGACATCCAAACACTCGCCTATCATTCATCCACCACAAATATGGCTTATCATCTGAATATGTAAGTATTAGCAACTTTTCATGGCCACTCAATCTAATGTTTACCTATAGAAATGTGCGCTGTTCAAGTGTCTGTGCTGAGTGCGGAAGCTGAATAGCAGCTCACTGCATGAAAGATGGAGGCGCCGATGCGCTCACTTGCTCTTAAAATAATCCCTCATTTTTGGTCATACAGATAAGAGTAATACATCTTTCAAATCTGCAAAGACTCTACGTTTATTTGTGTGCACTTACAATAACAACAAAACGTGCTTTTGTAAAATAATGAAAGCAAACAGGATGAACTTGAGCACGAAACTCCATGTATGTCTTTGCCTTACAGACATTAAAAATATATCTATAGAGAGTGAAATGTCTACTTTCAATTTAACAAATTCAAATGGAAAACAAATATTCTCAGATTATGTGATCCGTGTGAAACATGCATACAGGCGCGTCACTACTGCGGAGACGACGAGTCAGTGTCAGTGTCTCCGACTTCATCTCTTAAACCAAGAACAAAGAAAGTACTAGTTTATTAGTGACTTATTAAAATGTTAAAGGCACGATATGTAAGTTTTTTTTATGAAAATATCCAAAAACCACTAGAACAGTGTTAAATATTTTGCTGACTTGTGTTACATTCCCCCCCCCCCCCCCCCCCCCCCCACATAGGCACGACCGGAAGGAGCGGAAGCGGTCGATTGTGGCATAATAAAAGCTCTGCTGCTTTCGAGCCGTGTTCAGCGGCCTCGTTTCGCTTTGACGGCTTTCAGCCTCACCCTGGTTCATTCTACTTCGTTAATAAATCATTAGCTCATCCATGAACATGATTTCTGCCCGAGTCCCGTCGGATTACATCAGCTGTGGGGATGAAGACAACAACTCCCATGATTCCACACTCAGTCACGGCGTCATCAAACTGCGCCTTTGTCTCTTTGTTTATTTTGAATATGCGCCCTCCAGCAGCGAAAATTACATATTGTGCCTTTAATGCAGCCTCCTTACTGTTTTTCCCTGACACATTCATAATCATAGCTAACAGTGTTAAATATTTTGCTGACTTGTGTTACATTATCCCAAATGTTTCGAAGAATGTTTAAATCCAGAGAAATAAGTAATTTTAACTAGTGACAAGTAGCGTGTCCATAGTGTCATTGTGTCGCTGCCAATGACGTCATAACCCCTCGATTTCTGGTTTTGTTTTGTAGAAAACATGGAATTAGCTCATCCATGAACATGATTTCTGCCCGAGTCCCGTCGGATTACATCAGCTGTGGGGATGAAGACAACAACTCCCATGATTCCACACTCAGTCACGGCGTCATCAAACTGCGCCTTTGTCTCTTTGTTTATTTTGAATATGCGCCCTCCAGCAGCGAAAATTACATATTGTGCCTTTAATGCAGCCTCCTTACTGTTTTTCCCTGACACATTCATAATCATAGCTTCTGCGGTGCGCTATGGCAAGCTTTATGAGTGGCTTGAGCTCTTATTAGGCTTTGTAGGCAATTTAAGCCTCAATATAATGATTTAAATGGTTTATTAATAAACGTGCGATTAGTCGACTAATG